TAAGAATGGGTGGAGCACTGGCTGGAACCTGGTTTTTAATGCTAAGAATATTGCATTGGTTGATGTCAGAATATTCATGAACTGGCAGAGACATGGTAACAAGGTCAGCCAATGTATAGGCATGGCAACTGGGTCAGCCAATGGGAACTATTTGGTGACTGAGAGCCATGCCAGATGGCTCGGAGCCTGGGCGTGGCTTAGGCTCAGCTTAACCGCCCTGTATAGAGGAGGTTCTCTTTGTCTGTATTAAGCTCTGAACTGAAACCAAGCCTGTAACTACTACCACGTTGGGGAATCCACTATTGGTATTGTATATTTACTCATGTGTTATTATGTACGTATATGAAGAAGTTAATGAATCCTGCTGAATCAGTTATCTGTCGGTGCTTTTTGGATACGATTTCTGCAATAAATGCTGACAGTTGACCTATAGAGAAAATGGGCCATTGTAAGGAAGATAATATGAAGAATACTTGTGAGAAGCTTCTAAGGACTTCTGGGGAAATTATCACCAACACATTTCCACTACGACACCGTCTATTCTGCTTGGGAGCCTTGAAAATGGACCTGCTGAACCATTGGGTTTATCACTGAACATGTCCACTGACAAACCAAATCTAAATTTTCTACTAGATTGTCCTAGAATTATATTTGTTCTTTCTGATGAACTGACAACATTTTTCGTGATAAAATGGAATCTGTGAACTTTTCCTGTGAAGTTTAATTGGATTGATGTCTTGTAAGTGACAGGTACATGTTGTGTTACGAATCAACAGGATGCAAGAAAGTGTGTAAAATCTTGTCAATGTAATTTATTCACTAACAATAGATATGCTTGTGAATATGGAACACATCAATTGTGCCCATCCCACTTGATCAGTGTCTTGTTGGGAAAGTGCGAAACAGATGGAGAAAATCATAGTGATTATGCCTGTGTCACCGTATCCATAACTCATGCAGAGAGAACGGTCCGTAGAAAAATATTGCAGGAAAGAATCCCTCACACATGCACAAAAGGGGAGCACACATATGGTTTAATGAAAATGTGCAGAGACAGTTAAATAAAAGCAGGTTAGGAAGCTATTTCTAGCATAAGTGAACCATCAAACAGCATCTCTAGTGGGTGGGTATTTAATTCATCATTGTAATTCTAACTGATGGTGTGATGAGATAGAAGGATAGTCCCAATAATTGTTGCCTGTGAAGAAATAGCTTTTTACTAAGCCACGTCAAATAGCTTCTGATGGCACTTTTGAGGGATAAAATGAATATAGGATGTCTAATCTGAGTACAAAGTCAGGCATAGGAGAAATTGAAGGTAGAAGGATTGTGACTGGAAAAATTGAGCCATGTAACAGTCCTTATAGCTTTAAAGGACTAGAAAGAAATGGAGAAATCACTCAGAACCATGAGTGTAGGCAGATGATCCAACCACTTTAGATTTTACTTAACTATTCATATAAAAAGAGCTTACAGTATTTATGGAATCACTGCATCTTCATGTTAACCTGAGATAAAGGCTACATGGACACATACAGAGTGGGTTCTGGCAGGCACTACTGCCGGTTTGCTCATGTGCACGCTGCACACGTGTACTTGATGTACAACTAAAATTGTTCTGCGCCTGCATAGAGTCAGAAAACAAGATGGTGGTGCCTATGGCGCCACCCAGAGAATTGGTTCAGGGGCGTGGCAGGTCTGGGTCATTGCCGGTTCCAGCAACCCAGGCTGCCAAACCATAATCTTTTTGGCCGAACCGGTCTGAACCAGTATGAACCCACCACTGGACACATACTATAAAGCTAGGATTTTATTATGGTTTGCTAATTTGTTCCGCAGATAATTTGTTTTCTCCCTTTCTTCTACCAGGACCCAGATTCTGGACAGCACAAAAATCAAATAAAGAGTGAACTAGAAATAAGATGCAACAATAAAGTCTGTTGACACTATATCATAGATCATAAACCCGAAAGCCAGGGTTCAAAATGGCAGGAAAGCTAACTAGAACTCTGAGCCCCCAAAATACATTATAACTTTGAGTTACGAAAAAACCAGATTCAAAATATATATCAGGCTAAGCTCCATGTTTCCTCTCGTGATACTGTACATAGTAGTTAACATTCAAGGAATAATTTGTAGTGATTCAGATGAACAGATCAATTGAGTGAAGTTATATTGAGACTGATAGTTCAGATTAGTGCATCGATGATGTTTTTATTAGTTCAGCAGGCAAGCAAGGCTTTTTTTGATTTATGACCCACAACATTGAAGGAAGCTCTGCCTAAATCAGTGTTTCTCAACCTTGGCAGATTAAAAATGTGTGGACTCTTAACTCCCAGAATTCCTTCAGCTGGCATAGGATAGGGAAACCCTTACTTTGGGGTTTTTGTTGCTGAATTTCAGGAATGAGGTCTATTAAATATCAACAAAAGAGAATATTAAACATCAATTAATCCTCTCCCCATTGTGGGTGAGGGATAATTTGATGAGGGAATCACTCAGCACAGATACTTGAGATGACAATAGAAAGGTCTTCAGATCTAATCAAAGTTTTGAAACAATACTCAGAAATCTGAATATTTATGTAGCCTGCTCTATTAGCAGCGTTCCCTGGATGGATGGATGGATGGATGGATGGGGCCTTACACCTGGAAATGGGGATAGGAAGAGCCCCTGAGGGAAGTTTGATTTTCCTGGGAGATATAGTCCCCAGCAGAGGGAGTAAGAGGAAGTTTCAGGGAGCTGAGGTAAAACAGGATTGAGAGGGAGGGGAAAGGAAAAACTGCTAAGAGGGAAAGAGACTGCACTCCTTCAGAAAGAGACAGAGATTATGATATTACCACTCCAGGGAAAGAGTCTGCATCCTGCAACCTGGCTGCCATGAGAGGGAAACTGGATAGGCCTCTCACTGTGCCTGATGTTAACAATAGCATGTAGACATATATACCGCTTCACCCTCTCTAAGTGGTTTACAGAGTCAGCATCTTGCCCCCAACAATCTGGGTCCTCATTTTAGTGACCTCAGAAGGATGGAAGGCTGAGCCAAACTTGAGATGCTCAGGATTGAACTCCTGGCAGTGGGCAGAGTCAGCCTGTAATACTGCATTCTAACCACTGCGCCACTATGGCTCATAATGAGACTTAGGGTTAATGAGACAACTGGATTGGTGAGGGGCCATTTGGCCAGAAAGGACAATTGTTGGGACATCTTGCTCACCGGTTCAATGTTTAATATTATTGTGATGCTTAATTTGATTTGATTTTTATCTTAACAGTCATTATTTTAATTAAAGCCTCCAAGGGGGGGATGTTGCTATGCTTGGACGAGGTAAGTTGATCACCTGGGAAAGGGCTTAGAAGGGCCCGATTGCCAGTGGGGGAAGTGCTACACATAGGATACCAGGAAGTTGAACTCTGCAACTCAAGTACCATAAAAAAAATGAAGGAAACAAGTGAAAACCGTATTTCAGTAGACAGAATTACCTGATGAAGCTCCTCTTGAAAGGTTGTTACTATCTGAAATAAAAGTAAAACTACACTTACAGAGAGCATTTGATGACTTCTTTTGAATCATTAGGTTATTATTAAGATGACAGTTTGAGGTTAGCCTTTAAGGCATGAAACAGCAGAATACACACACAAGAACATCTGTCTCAATATGGCTATAGATCCACCAAATAGTGGCGTATTAGGTTGTTTTCAAAATCAAACAGCTGAGTGCTTTGCCAATTTCAGTGGGATGTAGAAATCCTCTGGACAGAAGAGAATGGTTGACAATGAAAGCCAAGTCATTTTGCCCAACCCCTTTCACGCTGCTAGATCCAGAATCCAGATTGTACAGATCAGAAAAACTCTTGTTGCTAGAAATTATGTGTGAAAACATTCACCATCATTATTTTGATTCAAACAAAGCTTTCTAAAAACTCTGTTGCTCAGAAGGGATGGCAAAATGACTTGAGATGAACTGGGAGAATAGCAGTATAGCAGAAATAAACATTGGGGTTGTCGAGAGGATGTAATTTCACTCAATTAATCTATGCGTCTGAATCACTGCAAATCATTTATTTGATGAGTGTTAACTAATAAGCCGCACTAGACTAGAACTGGGAGACTTAGTTTCAAATCGTCGGTCACATATTAAAATCAGTAGGTGATCAGTGTCACATAATTTCTCACACTAAACCATATGCAGCACTTGTATTATCTAAGGAAGAGGAGAAGGAGGCCTTTCAAACTGATAGCATCTTTTGCACATTGGATAAGATTTAAGACTGTAGGATATCTAAGGGTCACTTCTAGATTGTGTGGTAGAATCAGTAGATTTGGTGAGAGTTGAGCCACTCTTTTGGCCATCTCTTTAGGGCAAGAGTGTCAAACTCGTATGACACATTGTTGTCACGTGATATATCACAACTTTCCCCCCATTGCTCAAACGGGAGTGGGCTGGCCAGCATGATGTACACGGCCCACAAGTTTGAACACCCCTGCTTTAGGACATACAGCCAGAACCATGGTGAAAGGATGAAGGGTGACCTCTGATTCTAGTTTGGGGCTCCAGCAATGGGTCATGGCAGACGTTTAAGGCCCAGTCCAGCTCCATTGACAGTACTATGGCATGGCCTTAGTTCATGCTATGCAGGGAGATTATTTTTTTCTCCCCAGCTGGCTGGTGAATGATTAAAAGTAAAGGTAAAGGTTCCCCTCACACATATGCGCTAGTAATTCCCAACTCTAGGGGGCGGTGCTCATCTCAGTTTCAAACTAAATACAAAAGGCACAGGGAACACTGTTACCTTTCCACCAAAGGTAATTTCCACCAAAGGTTGGCAGAAGCTGGGACAAGTAACGGGAGCATTAAAAAAGGCATAAGTACTGTGGAAGAGATGCACGAAAGTCTTTTTGTAACCACTTTCTACAGTATATAAAGAAGGAAGATTTTATGTGTTGTGTTTGTTTTGAAAATAAAGAAATAAAAAAATATTTAAAAAAGGCATAAGTGAATGATAATGCAGCCACTAATAAAGATGTCCCTGTAAAGAATTTGGATGCAGATCTTATCTTCTGCAACCAATAAAATTGGGGCCAATATTTTCACACTTGCTAGGAACTGTTTTATTTGCTGTAACCTTCTTTTGCTTCTGCTTCTTGGTCTAGTTTACAATATTCAACAGCACAGGATAAAAAGGGTTGGTGGAGATAGACAATCAATACATATCCAAAGGGTAACACCCGTCACATTACACTTACGGGTGGAGAACTGAGAACCTGAGGCATTCCTAACCAGACAGGCCTTTGAATCCAGATATACATTCCATTTTAGAATCAATCATAATATGAAGTGGAGGCAGATTAATTATTTACAGGTTATTTTGATGTAAAGCTTAGATCTGTAAGGCCAAGTACTATGCTAAATAATAAAACAGACTAAGTAAGCAGAATATTAATAATATAATATTTTGCCTTGTAAGGCTCACAAACGTTTTACAATATTCTGTTCTACACTTTTATATAACTTTTGAAGTAACTAAAAAATTTTTTATTGTTCAAGTGTAATAGATTATAATGGCTGTTTAACACGGTTGTTTATGAATATATTAACTGTATCATTGCAACACATTTCCCACACTTTTTTTCTCTTCCAGAATTCTCTTTCTTACACAACGTATTCATAAGCTCTATATTCAAAAGTGAACAATACTTGAATTTAGAGGAGTTTTTTTTTCTGAGCAGGATTTGTGACTAAATAAATAAAGCAAGGATAGGAAGGAGCTAATCATGATTTCAGAAACATGTATCACTTGGCGATTGCCTTCCATCTTTCTCCAAGATTCTCCGGGAGTCGGTGTTTACTGCAGAGCATATGACTAAATAATTAATCACGTTCACCTTTTCAATCTGCAAAATGGTAAATTTGAATATCTAACACAGGTTTATCAAAATAAAGAATGTGATGAACTTCTGGAAAAGGAAATCCTTTTTTTTTAATTTTGAGCCACAATTAAAGCAGCTCATCTAGGTACAGGCATCTGTACAGCGCTGCACAGTTTTGCTTGAGCCATGTGTAAATGTTGAAAAAAGAGGTGAAGCAAAAATAAATACATAAATAAAAGTAAATATATACACAAAACCAAGACTGTAAATGGTGATATTATGAAGTAGTTTTTCATGGAATTGTCAAAGGTTCATATTTTGGTGAAAAACTATGATTTTTCTCTCAGTGACTTTTTGGTCTGGCATCCATTTTTAGTACATGGGTTATCTGGTTATAATTGCTTTTTGTCAGACACTCTCCCTCCCGCAACTCTGCTTGGGAAACTTTCATTTGATATTTTTGCAAGATCAAAGAGTTATTGATCTGTGTTTATATATTACACAGGATACCAGTTAGTCTCTGCTTTCCTATAAGTTTCACTAATGTTTTCTTCAAATATTGTCCCCCAACTGTATATTCAAAAGGAAGATATCATAATCAAGGTAGTCAGGGACAAAATTGACAGCAAGATTGGCCAGGCCATTTAATGACCATATCCTGACTAGCTGAAATTCTAGATCAGGGGTGTCCAACCATGGCAACTTTAAAACTTGTGGACTTCAACTCCCAGAATTCCAGGAGATGAAGCCACAAGTCTTAATGTTTTCAATGTTGGACACTCTCCTCTAGATGGTTTAATAACTCTATTAGCTCATTGACTAGTAATCAGTGTTCTGGGCTGTTGATTTTGGTGTCAGAGTAGTGCCTGAGGTTTTGTATAGCAACAGAAAAGTTAACTAGATAATTAAAAGCTAGTAAAGAAGTAGAGAATCTCCAAGATATGTTCCAGCTAGGAAATCTGGGGAACAAGAGAGCTTAAAAGGTTCAGATTTTATTACTGTATCAAATATGTTTCCTTGTATTCCTGCTCAAAGTTAAGAATCCAAAGGCTCATAAAACTGTTTCTATACTTTCGGACAAAAAACCCAGGGCCAGAAATGTACGAGCTGAAAGCTATATTTAATGCTGCATATTTTAAGGGTGGCAAGACTGGGTTTTGCACAAAAATGGAAAAATATGGAGATTCCCCCAGAACAAGAAATAATAAATAAGATACTGACGTGTGCAGAGATGGACAGACTGACTCTAGAGCTCAAAGACAAGGGTGAGACAGAATATTACGAAATCTGGGACAAATGGTACCGATGGTTAGAAATGAGGGAAAAAGGCCGGGACAAGTTAAGAATTGGAAAATATGGTATTAAGAATGTGCGAAAGGTAGGAATTGAATATGTATTTGGATTTGTATGCTTAGTAATTACATAAAAGAAAGGATCAATGGACAGGTAATCAGACTGTCTACATATACCTATATAATGGATATAAAATATAATTGTTGTAAGATCTAATCACTATATAGAAATGTTGCACTATGTCCAATGTTTTTAATGTTGATCTAATAAAAAGCTTACAGTCCCCAGTTTCCTTTGGTCATTATCTGACTGTGGTCACTGAAAACTGATGGAACGGCTTTTGTCCATTTTGTTGCCATTTCCCCTAAATTAATGTATTTGTTGAAAGGTATGATTTTCCACCTCCCCCCATTTTTGTCTTAAAAGTAGTGATCTCCAGGTTCAGGCTACACCGAAGGGAATTCTAAATTGTATAAGATGTTTTGCTATACTCTAAATTTCTTGGTTCGCTAAGCTAAGACATTTATGTAACCCACACTATAGAGACCTGCTCCAGTAAGCAGAACAATGGAATTGCTATTTTAATTTCCTATTCCTGTCCTATAGCTTGTTCCAAATAGGTCTAGTACCTGATACACGGATATGTAATTCTGCTCCTTTTCTGTTCAAGGCAAAAGTCTTGAAATGTAGCCCTTATGGCACCTTACTTCCTTTTGGCTGGTTTCTTTTTCCTCCCTTTGTTTGTAATTTTTTTTAATCGGCTAACCTTTTATCACTTACTACCTCACTCCTTTAAAAAAAAAAAAATCTCCCACTGGAATCCGTGGAAATGCCACTACACATTAATTCATCAGAAAGCATCAAGCTGCCTGTTTCTGGAATGGAGGATAGGAGGGAGATTCAGGATGCTAGGGGCTTTTTATTCTTTCCTTCCGAGTAGAACAGCAGCTCCAGGCAGATGGAAAATCTTTCCCGCTGATCCTCCCAAGTGAAAGATAAAACTGCGGTTATTTGAATCACATAATGAATGAATCTCTAGCAACAGAAGCCCACAGTCGGCAGTGCCTAGCCAGAAGCATAATATCTTATGTTCCCAGAGGCTGGGTAGCAAAGAAAGCTTGTGACTGTTCTGGAATCACACAGAAATCAAATAGTACAACTAATATGATTGATTATAGACCAGGATATACCAAAGCATTATATCCCTAGGATAAGATATTTTGGAGGGTTGTTCTTGCTTATATCAATCACAAAACTCCAGCTCTTCGCTCCCTCTTTTCACCCTGTCATATAGAATTTGGATATGAAAAAAAATGCCTAGCTCTTTGGATGTTGTGGCCATGCCTCTATCCCTCTGAATTGCATTTGGCAATTCAGTTGGGCTCTAATTTGGATTTTGTTTAATTTGGAGGCAAAGCTTCCCCCATTCTGAACTGGTTGGCACACATTTATCCCTGAATGGAATTCATTAAGCTATCATAAAAATGAACGTTGAAGCTTAAAATTACTGTATATGAATCTGTATGAAGGCATGTTTAATACTATTAAGATATTGGCAGTCATTTATATGTCAGTATAGACCATTAGGTCACAAAGAACAGCAATGGCTGAGCAATTAAACAATAATCGTTTTGAATTTATGGCACATATTTTTTGAAGCGGAAATATAATAATTGAAGCTAGGAATTGTTAAGAAAAATATCTGCTTCTCCATAAGCTATGCTCATTCCATTCCATAGATTTTCTTTCCAATGAACGTGCTACGATCATTACTCAATTCTAACAGAATAACAAGAGTTGCAAGGGACCTTAGAGGTCTTCTAGTCCAACCCCCTGCTCAAGAATTCTCTTACCCCAGCGATGCCCCTAATAAAGATACATATACTTACGGTTTGTAACTTTGGCTGTTAGTATCTGGCTGAATTTCTCTGGAGACTCCACATTTTCTTCATCAGTTACATATTCAAAGATAATAATAAACATCATAGCCACTCCTTCTTGGTTTTTCACTGGGATGATGTGGGTGTTACAAATGAAGGTAGACCCTAGAAAGAAGAGGGGAAAAACATCAACAAAAGTTTCTGTGGAAATAGTTCAGTTCCAATTACTTCCCTACAAGGGATTCCAAAATGGTCACCAATCGGAGAAATACAGGCACACTTGTATATTTGTTTAGATGTGAGTCCCCTCTGACAATTCGAGCACAGTGAATTGGAGCACACATTCCAGAACATTTGCATTGTGGCTTCTCGCTCAATTGTGTTTTGTGCATCACAAAAGTTTTGGACCCGTGTAGAATCCCTCCAGGGAAGAAACTCAGTATCAACAACCAAGTGAAATGTATTCTATCTTTAGATCCATGCAAATGATTGAGAACTTTATTTATGGCAATGCCACAAATAAAGCCCTTTTGGTCCCTAAAGCACTGAGGCAGACATGGTTTTCCAAAGGCTCATATGCGGTCATAAGAAAGGTTTTTCCTGGTCATTTGCACACAGAGGTATATATGCACAGAACCTTCTGGGATTGCTGCCAAAATAAACTATGTTAGGAACTGGGTGTTGGATCCTGATAACCCTTCAGCCAAAGCCAGGATGGTTAAAAATGTAAAACTGTATTCAATTAGATAAAAACTGAAGTATTTGTTTGACAAGTATGCTCAATCCCAGGCGGTCACTCTCTTTCTCTGTGCAGACTCTAGAAAGAGTGCAGAGAAGAGCAACAAAGATGATTAGGGGACTGGAGGCTAAAACACATGAGGAACAGTTGCAGGAACAGGATATGTCTAGTTTAATGAAAAGAAGGACTAGGGGAGACATGATAGCAGTGTTCCAATATCTCAGGGGTTGCCACAAAGAAGAGGGAGTCAAACTATTCTCCAAGGCACCTGAGGGTAGAACAAGAAGCAATGGGGGGAAACTAATCAAGGAGAGAAGCAACTTAGAACTGAGGAGAAATTTCCTGACAGTTAGAACAATTAATCAGTGGAACAACTTGCCTCCAGAAGTTGTGAATGCTCCAGCACTGGAAGTTTTTAAGAAGAAGTTGAAACACACACACACACACACACACACACACACACACACACACACACACACACGCACACACACACGCACACACAGACACACACAAAATACATATAACACAGACTATTCTGGCTAGAAGCAGAAACGTAGGAACTTACAAATGCTGATTTATCTTCCATAACCTTCAGGCAAGTCCTAACTGAAGTTACTTTGCTCCCCCGACGCCCCCCCTCTAAAAAAAACCCCAGGCAGCAATCTTCCCTATGGCTCAGCAATCCGGTTTAAGTTGAGCTTTTGTTGGTGCAGCTTATGAAAGCAATGCCAGAGTCCCTGCCAGCGCATTCACGTCTCTCACACGGAAAACATGCAGAAAGCATCACAAAAATAGATGTAGGAAAATGCCCTTTGGTTTTCGAAGTCCAGTGCATACACTGAAGTCAGCAAAAAGGGCACTTTTCTGTACCATTTATATTTAGCTTGCTTTTTTTATATTTAGCTTTTAAAAATAGATACATAATCGACTGAAATCTGGTCCTCACCCCCCCTCCAGAACCTTCTACTTATTTAATTTACAGTACAGTAAATTTTAGGACTCCTCCTCTGTCTGGGAGTCTAGGTTGATGCTCGGAGTAAAAACCAAACAGCTGTAAAGCCTAGGAATTACTATCATCAGAATAAACCTTAAAGCACTGCAGCAAAACGAGCCAGACAGGCTGCTGTATGATGACATCCCATTAACCGCACTGGGAATCATCTACACTGTTGACTTGACCACTTTGTGCACTCAATCTACAGGATTGGGTTGGGCTCCAAAAGAACTACCTGCATTGTGGTGACCCATCCTGGATGTTAATTCCTCCAGGGGAGTCCTTTCTAATGATAGCTCCCAAAGTCGTAGCCTACTGGTTAGTCATCTGGCCAAAGGTCTTCTTCTGTGTGGTTCCTGAAATGTCAAGGGACCCTCTTTGGATCTGCAGTTGCTTTGACATTTCTCTGCTTTTAGGAAAGGGGTCAAGATAGACCTTTATTTTTAGCCTTCCAACCTGTCTTCTTGGCTACTGCTCCTTGTCAATATTGGATTAGGCTCATACAGTATAATGGTCCTAAATGAATTTTTCACCCTTTTGTTTTAGGTTGCTCTTCCTATATTTAGTCATCTTGAATGCCATACTTTGATGGGAGTTATAGTTCAATATATCTGCAGGGTGTCAACTTGGGAAGGCTGTGGCCCTCTTGCATACATCACAAAATGAAATTTATATTGTTTCTCCTGTTGTGTGTCATTTTACGACTGCCCAAGCCAACACATAAAGACTGACAGGTCTTGCCTCTCAAATGTTGTAGCTGCGGCTTCAATCCATTTAATAAAACAGTTAAGCGGTGACACTTGCCACGGTTTCCATGGGAACAAACAGGATGACTTTAGTAAACAGAAAATAAGCAATTTAAGACTCTTCCATCTGGGGTAAAAATAGAAGTGCTGCAGGCTGTGCGCTGAAATTGAGCCTGGTTAATCAGAGTATTGGAGAAGAGACTAGACAGATCCATTATGCTTTCAGTTAATTAAGAAAAATAAATATTGACTTGAAAGCGCAATTCCCTGATTTATTGGAAAAGGCAGTTGCACCACGTAGTTTGGAAATGTTTGACATCTTTTGCATCAGGTTTATAACATAGCGACATGCAGATTGCTTGGCCTCTGATGTCAGGGAGGGAGAGAGGGAGGGGAAAGGAAATGAAATACAGACCCAGAGCACAGTGTAAAATCAGTTGCAATAGGCTTTGGAAATGGAGGACTTTGCACAAGCGTTCCAAGATTGGCACTATTTTGGCAGAAAGCCATGTTGGAAGCCTGGAGTTTCCCTCTTGGTTTTTAAACCCATGGCTAAATTTGGAAAGCAAAGCCACTCAAGCATGTTCTAACTCTTCTTCATCCCAGGGCTGATCTTTAGCTTCCTTCTGGACTATGCTATATGACTTCTGGAGTGTTGTTTATTGCAGCTGGTTATAGTTCAACACATTGGCCAGGTGTCAACTTGGAAAGGCTTACGCACAATCAAAAAAAGAGGAGAAAAGTTTGCATGAAAATTGTATATATTGACTCATCTGGCTTGATGTAAATGTAGGTTTGATGGCCATCACTGAAACGGGAAAACCAGATGGGCCTAAGACACTGGAAACACTGTGATCAATTATCCCATGTGTCTATATAGGCAACTTTAAGAATACTTTTTAACTAGGCACAGCATATCTGGCCTTTGAATTGAAGCCTTTGAACTATGATGCAGGAGAAGACTCCTGCAGGTCCTTTGGACTGACGATCAAACCGGTTAGTCCTAGAGGAGATCAACCCTGACTGCTCTTTAGAAGGCCAGATCCTGAGGATGAAACTCAAGTACTTTGGCCTCCTAATGAGAAGGAAGGACCCACTGGAGAAGAGCCTAATGCTGGGAAAGATTGAGGACAAAAGA